CCGCTCAGAAGTGACGCACGCGGAAACGCAGTGGAGAGATCAAAACAAAACAACGGTCACTAATTAGAAGTACAAAACGAGGATTTGTAAAGAAGCATGTCAGAGGATTTCGATATAAGCCATGAGGAGACTGGTTTTCCTTTGCTAAAGTAAGGAAACTTTGCTTCCTTTGCTCCTGTAAACAAACGTTGGTTTTCACGAGACTCACCGGCGCATGCGCAGCGCCGACATCTTACGTCATCCGCCCGGAACTGCTTCTGTGTACAACTGTTGCCGCAGGCTAGATTAAAGTGATTATTACGTTTTGAATATGGATATTTTTCTTACAAAAACGCACCGATTCGCTACAGAAGGCCTTTGTTCACTCCCCGGAGCCGTCTGAGACACTTTTTTTTATGGATGGGCGCATATTATTTAACTTCTTTTGGACTGAAGCAATGCAACACCTGCTGAGTGCCATGAAACAGCTTGAAAGATCAAAGACAATTTTTAATATAACTCCGACTGGATTCGTCTGAAAGAAGAAAGTCATATACACCTAGGATGCCTTGAGGGTGAGTAATTTATGGTCTAATTTTCATTTTGGGTGAACTAACCCTTTAAGCGTCTTGAGATGCTGGTGCGAGCGTCCAGTCGAGGAAGCTCACGTCCTTAATTGACTATGAAATTGCAATTACAAGGAAATCCTATCACAGGAACAGAAAAGAAAAATATTACGAATTAAAACAATAAAGGTAAAAGAAATGAGAGGCACTCAACGTCTCTTCAAATCGGGTAAAAAGCGATTCATTGTTATTGCTGTTAATCACGCAAAAGTCAAGATTATGATCTCTTGCTAATTTGAATCCGAGTAAAAGCAGAATGGAGAAAAATAATTATAACCCGAGAGCAATTGTGCACAACGTTAAAATCTGCAATTATTTGCCGACCTCCTCTCAATGGAACTTTGTAGCCAAGAACCCTCTTCCTTATCCTTTTCTTATCCTCTTACATAGAACCATTTTCACTGTATAGGGAGGGTTCTTGAGATGGCTGCAGTAGTCTATGTGAGTTTAGGGTGCTTAGTTCGATTACACTTTATTTTAAGGTGTCATTGTTACAGTGTCATACTATACATATACATTTAAGTACTGAGCAATATAAATTAAGAACATGTGCTTAATATATGGTTAGGGTTAGGGTTTGTCTTCTGGTTACTTGCATGCAATTATGCATAATTAGTTATTATAATAGTAAGTACATGTAACGTGTAACAAGGACACCTTAAAATAAAGTGTTACCCTCAGTTCTTCTCATAGAGGAGTTTAACCTTGCTCAGGCAAACCTCAACCAGATTATGAAAGCTTTAAGGTTCATTAAAAAGTTAGACATTACAGAGGGAAAAAAAATGTCTGTGAAAAATTAGTTTCAGAGATAGCATTCCTGCATGACAAGATAATGTCTGAAGAGCTAGAGAATAAAAAGTTATTTGCAGAACTTAGAAAGGTTGTCAGGCCTTTTTTAATTAAATACCTGGAATTTAAAAATGGCGTGTTGAAACTCACGTCACTCTTGGAGATCTACCAATCACAGAGATCCATCTATCTGGTTTAGTTCCAGCATCTACTCCAAAACACCTGCTGCAAGTGAAGTCGAGAGAAGCCACTAATTAGCCGTTGCAGGTGTGCCTGATTAAAGCTGGAACTGAATTCAGCAGGATCTCCAGGAGAAAACGGAGCGCTCCTGATTCAGACCATACATTAATCTTATTTATCGTACTGTCTTTGCTAAGAGGAACAGTAGAGTGCAGTTATTAATTACGTAGCAGCAAGTGTTAATGAATGGAAGACTATTAGTGTCTTCTTTTGTCTCTTTAAAACCTGGTTAGCACAGTGAGTGACTATGTAACTAATTACTTCGGAATCAACCAGAAAATGACACCATGTCAATGCTGATTGGCTGATGGCGCTTCCAAACCCACCACTAGTCACCTTTATTTATATAGCGCTTTTAACAATACAGATTGTGTCAAAGCAGCTTTACAGTATTAAATAGGAAAATAGTGTGTCAATAATGCAGAATGACAATAGTAAACACTCATTTTTCAGTTAAAGACAGTTCATCATTGAATTCAGGGATGTCATCATCCAGCTCAGTTCAGTTTAAATAGTGTCTGTGCAATCAAGTCGACGATATCGCTGGAAATGAAGTGTCCCCAACTAAGCAAGCCAGAGGCAACAGCGGCAAGGAACCAAAACTCCATCGGTGACAGAATGGAGAAAAAACCTTGGGAGAAACCAGGCTCAGTCAGGGAGCCAGTTCTCCTCTGACCAGACGAACCAGCATGGCATGGTTTAATTCCAGGCTGCAACACAGGTCAGATTGGGCAGAGAACTCATCTGGTTCCCTTGGTCTTGTCCCGATGGCTGTCTAGGAGACAAGGGGCCGCATTCATGAAACACGAGCAGAACGATTTTTTGTGTAAATCGTTTGTAAAGCTGTGCTGACATAAACTTTCGAATTCATGAAAGTGTTCGTATTTTCAAAATGTTAGTTGGTACAAAAGAAATGTAGGCTACACCTGCTCCTTACCATGTGTAAATGGTGCGTAAAACGTTCTGTGTTCTTTTTGAACTGATGACACTGAATTTTGATGCACTGCCATTATAATATTTTACAAGTTCGTTTGCTCTGTTTTTGTTTTGTTTGTTTTGTAGCTGAGAGTTGATAAACTGTTTAGCTTTGGGTAAAACGCAGCGCTTGTCACTGTCACCAGCCGTCCAATCAATGGAGGAGGGGCGGGACAAATACTACTCCGACCAATCATCCTACTTGTACAACAACTGAACAACAATAGAAAAGTTAATATTGCTTGTTACTGCATTTTTATATTCAGTAATATTCTTCAAAATGAGATACTAGTAATGCGTTACTGCCGTGGATATTCCTAATCATAGCAACCAAAGCGTCTCAGCTGAAAAAACCGCTGTGCCACCAAAGTGTTCTCAAGCGCCACCAGCTAGTTGTTTTCAGAAGAGCACCTGACATTTTATTTTTCAGCTGGCTAAAAACTCTTTGGAGGACACACGTTAAAGGGGTCATATGATGCGATTTCACGTTTTCCTTTCTATTCTGTTACACCAAATACACAAAATAATGATCTTTAAAAAAGCATCAACCCCTTTAATTGAATATTTATTGTTAGGCATATGGCCTATTAGTCTTTTTTTGCATTTATGCAGTATATACTGGAGCCAAACCTGTGAAAGTAGACCAGAATATTCCATTGTGTTCCCGGACACGCAATTTGCATAGCTGTAATTTATAGGCGAGGATTAGGCTAATTGTGAACGAGCGTGCAGGAGCGCCCTATTTACGAATGATTGGAATTAATTAACATACACATGTTTAACTATCAAATCGGAAGTTTACAAAGCGTTTGTGAATCCGGAGAGAAGTTTTCGGGAAGGTCCGTTTTACGCGCAAATTACTCCAAATTTTCTCCTATTTACGAATGTTTTGTGAACGAGGCCCAGTCTTCACTGGGGATCTGTCTCTGGGGCTCATCTAGTTTTCCTGGTCTCTGCTGACATTCAGGGCTGTAGAGGTCATCTCTAGATGCTGATCCACCTTTTGGGCTGGATACGGACTGCATCTGGTGGCTACTGTCAGGGAGTCTCTGGCTGCGTCCGAAACCGCCTACTCATTGAGTAGGTACTTAATTTCAATAAGTACTTACTTAACGAGCGCTACTCTACAGCCAAATCTCGTTAAGTATGAATGCGATCCAGGCAACATCCGCCATGTTGACGTTATCATGTGATCTACGATGTTACAAGCGCAACAACATAAAAGATACGAGCGACCGGTTTAATTGATCTCTCTGTAAATATTTTGATGTTTATGAAATTTCCTCATTTTGTGGTCTTGTTGAAGAAACAGCTGCCCTTTTATTGTGATTGTAGTGTCTGCTCCAAACATTTGTGTGCTGCTCTCCATGAGCACGACTATCTGTAAAACATTTACACAGAGTAAAACATAGCTTAGTCATAGCTTCATTACTTCTGTGGTGTAGTGGGCTAAAGCACTGAGCTGGTAAGCAGAAGGTTGCTGGTTCGATCTCTGCAGTCTTCACCACCAGTGTGTCCTTCAACAAAGCTTTTTACTCCAGGTGGCTGCAAGGGGATTGGGGTCCCTGTAATAAGAGCACTGTAAGTCACTTCGGATAAAAAGTGTCTGATAAATGTAAATGTGATTTTTGTAAATCCTTTTTTGTGTCTTGGGCACAAGCGCTCAATAAAGCTGCTTATTTCTTAAAGTATAATTCTTCAAGGTTCTACTATAATAAAAATGCATGCATATATTTCATACAGTTACTTTTTGGGGGGGTTTAAAGGGTTAGTTCATCCAAACATATAAATGCAGTCATTATTTACTCGCCTCC